GAGCATAGAGTGAGACCACAAGGTGACACAGAGTGAGCAGTTCTGTCTGTTCTGAGTCTGAACTCTTGTCCCTCAGAAGGGCTGGGATGCTTGGCCTGGAGAGAGCCACTGAGCCCCCCTGACCACCAGAGCACCAGGTGGTGACCTCGCTATGAACTCATTCGTGACCTTAGCTCTCATAACCAGTGAAGTGGACAAGAAGATGGCAAAACTGAGGCTCGACAGCTGCCTAAGGTCACGTAGCAGCAGCACATGGCTGGCAGAGTTGAGAGTGGGACTCAAGGCTGGGTACCATCAATTACCCTAAGGGACATGGGTCCGTCCCTAGATAAAGCAGGGCCAGGGTGGCTGTAGCCTCAGCTGTCATGGCTCTGGGTTTAGAAGAATTTCAGTTAATGTGTGTCCCTTCCACCCAGCACAGAAGGGGTGGCTCAAGGAGAGGCTGGCCCGAGAGGAGCAAGGGGGCGGGCCGAGTTCTGGGGTGGAACCCGGAGCATCCGGGGCCTTCATAAACCTGGGCAGGCAGGGGCAGTGCATGCACAAGGGGCCACCATGGAGGGCGGCTTCACGGGGCAAGATGAGTACCAGAAGAATTTCCTGCCCGGGGACTACCTGGCCACCTACTACAGCTTTGACAGCGGCCCCTTGCCCGAGACTGAGATGCTCAAGTTTAACCTTGAGCATCCCCACAAGACGTTTGGCCCTGGTGAGTGGAGGGGTGGCCCTTCCTACTGGGTCTCTAGGGGATGCTGGGTCGGGGACAGGGAGAAGGAGTCTCAGGAGGCCAGCCTGGGTGGAAGCCTGGTCTTCTTTAGGGGCTTGCAGAGCCTAGGGATGAGGGAGCTTGTCGGGCCCTGTCGCTCCTTTTGGGTAAGTGTGTGCAGGAGGTTGAGTCTGTCTCTTCACAGCCCAGGAGCTGCATGCCCAAACGGAACAGGGATAGGGGAATGGATGGGGCATGGGGTATGGAGGGGGAGAGGGGATGTGGGATTTGTGTGGGGGGAATGTACAGCATCTTGCAATTTCCAAAATGTTCCCCTTTAGCCACTAGGTCTTTGAGGTAGGGGCAGGGAAGTCTCTCCAGCTCACAAGTCCAGCCCTGCCCTTGCACAGCCAGGCCTCTGAGACCAGAAAAGGCCAAGGGTAGACAGCAAGATTGAGCAGGGTCAGAGTCACCCCACCTTGAGAATACGTAGCCCACATGCAGTTATGGCAAGTGTCTGGAAAAGTCAGGAATGCTGGGTGGGGTCTCAGCCCTGTCATGTACCTGCTGGCAAGGCCCTCAGTCTCCAAGGGCCTTGATTGCACCACCTGTAAAATGGACACGCAGTACTCGCTGCCTCCTAGTGATAATTTCCACCCCCCACACACATCCCCACCCCAGCCCCTACCTTACACAGGAATTCAGTCCTGGCCTCCAGGCTCACGTAGCCATGCCTTCCCTCTGGGTTCTTAATTGGGGAACTGTGATGTGAGTCTCCTGGTGAGGGGCCAGCCCTGGGCTGGGGGCAGGAAGGGGTTAAGAAGCTGCTGAGCCTGGCAGAGCAGACGGGTGGGGAGGCAGAAGTCAGAGAACAGCCTGGTGGGCTGTGAACCCACAGTGAAGAGATTTTTAAAGCCCGGCTCCACATGGAATGTTGGAAGTTACACTTCATTTCAGCCTTTGGTGACACTCAGCTCACCCGGGCCGCCTTCCCGGGTCATCTCTTTCTCAGCCCCCTGCTTCCTGCTCCTGCCCATCTCCCCTGGCCCGCATTTCACCCAATGGAATCCATCCAGGCCAGGCTGGACATCAGGTGAGGTTCCCTGCCAACCTTAGGGCCACTGCCCGCAGATGTCCTCTCTGTCTACTCCAGCCAGAATCT